CTCATTATCGTGATCCCCAGCTCGCCGGTAAGCGCCGCGTTCGGCAATCAAGTCGAGTGTACCCCGGCTCGTCCATGGGCGTTTCGCTGCAGATCTCGAAACCGGCAAGACAGCTGCTGCTTCATCAAAGGCACGTTGTAGATCGGCTGCTGCGGTGTCCAAGTTGTTGGCGGCTTCCCGCGGTAGCATTGCGTTTACAAATGCGTTCGAAAATCTGCTTTGTGTTTGCAAGTCGCGTAAAGCCTGCACGTCCACTCTCTGCTTAGGTTGTTTCTGCTGCGTTTCGAACTCTATGTGCATGTCCGCAACCAGAAGGAAATGCCGACTATTTCATGCGTCTATGCGGCTGCTCCAACAGTCCGTGATGGTGTCGATCATTGTTTGATGGCATAATACGTGATCTATCTGAGAGAATGTTGACGTCGTAATGTTGTTGTCCATTGGATTGACTCCCAAGTTCCGGCACGTGACTTTCATCGAATCGGGGTGGTCAAAGAAAGTGTTCGCAATGGCGAGGTCGTAAGTCACGCAAGTTTCCAAGAGCAGTTGCCGGTTAGATAATTGTGCACTGGCACTCCCATTGGTAGCTTCATTGTGATGGGGAGTCCCAGGGAGGTTTTTGAACACATGAGCCCCGATCATATCCTCTTCTCCCGGTCCTTGCCGCAGAAGTTGCGCGTTGAAGTCCCCCAAAGCCATGGTCGTCCTGTGCGTAGTCGTAGCCCGGATGAGGTCCTGTAACTCGTAGTGGAAGGCTTGGCGCTTCTCGTAGTCCAGGCCGCTCTGAGGGGCATATGCGGTGATCAAGGCCAGCATTCCTCCTCGAACCTTTATTCGGAGTGTGGCCAACCTGCCTGAGCAGGCCTTGAAGGCGACAATGGACTTGAGGGTTTTTGGGTTCACCAGGAAGCCAACCCCTGCGTAGGTGCGAGTTTCAACATCCAAGCTGCCAGATAAGCAGATCTTGAAATCGTTTTTCATGTAGTACTCCGCCCCGTGCAAATGTGTCTCCTGAATGCATAAAACGTGTATGTCGTGATACAACATTTTCTGGATAAGCTCGTCGAGTCTGATGATTGAATCACCTCGGAGGCCTTCAACATTCAAGGTGCCGATGCGGTTCATGTGGCACGGAATGCACAACTGTCTCTGCGTGTTCCATCTGGGAGGGTTTTGAGGAGAATGGGAGGGAGAAGCTCGTGGAGGGTCAGTGTTAGTAGATTCGCCAAACTCGGTGTGTCTTCCAAGATGGGGCGATGGAATCGAGGACGCCACGGGGGGCGCAGCATTGCTCGAAGATGTAGTCGGACACTGCTCGTCTATGGTGTCTCGGTCCGCGATGGTATCTTTGCCCATCCTGGCCGAACCACGAAACGTAGATACAGGGCCGAGCTCAGAAACTATATCGTCGTCGATGTTGATAGAATTTGAGCATTCTCGCAATGAACCAAAACTGTACGTATCGTAAATACGCTCCAAAGATACATTGTCGCCTTCGGTGCTGGTGCCGTCGTCAACGTTCATGTGCACGCGTGCTGACGGGGCTGGTCCGTGGGAAGGTAACGAAGAAGATCTTGGACGTAAGGGTAGCGTGGGTGAAACTGTCGGGGGTTAGGTAGCTTTGCCCTCTCCCAGAGAAGTCGGGACGGAGTTGGAGAAGAGAGTCGGTGATGTAGAAGTAGGGTCAACGTTAGAAACTGCATCGATGTCAAAAACTGTCGTGTGCTGGACGCGGACACCACGAAATATAAGAACATGCTTTCCCAAATCGGCTCCGGCACTGGGCAGACAAGTCCGTGACGTGGAAGATGTAGCCAATGCCTGCCGTGCGTCCTATTTTGACGCCGTGCCTTTGGACGCTCCTTTTGCTCCGCCTTTTTGCCCCTGAGCTGCTCGATGAATGATGTCATTGCATTTTGGTGTCAATTCTGCAAGTTTGGTTTTTTTTTGCAGATCGCCCCAAGCCTGCCAAATATCTTCCCACGCCGTCTCGAATGCCATGTTGTGCACATTCACCGTCAACGCCAACTGCCCTCCAACTTCTAGTGTGTAAGGCGCTTCCTCTGACACCCTGATGGTGTATGGATTCTGCAGGTCGTTTTTGAGCAAGTGTTTCCCCCCAAAGCAATAGTTACGGGCCGCACGGTCGGCTGGTTCTCTGTCTTGGGTTGCCCAAATCAGTTTACTCCCACGCTGAAGGCCACCTCTGCGTAGAAGAGCGACTGCCGTATCTCGGTCGAGCATGCTGTCGAACTCGGCAAATGCAATATCTTTGAATCCCCCTTTCGCGTAAATATTCTTCGGGATTGGGGCTTGCATTGAAGATAACTGCTCTCTGATAAATGTGCATGCCGTGGAGATGGAGTCAAAATTGACAAGGTTGCCAATGACCGCTGTGATAGCACGTTTGCCATGATAGTGGTAAGCGTTTGCCGTACCTCGCGAAACTGCTTGAGATGTTCCAGCATATGATCTCGGTGTAGTTGCCAAGCTTGCCATCTCTTTCCGCATCTCCTCTATAGCGTTCTCCATGTTAGTAGTACGTATTTGCAAATCTTCAATATCATTGTTTACCGTATCTTGCAACTCCCCGAGGTCTTTGCGCAAAGGGTCCACAGCCTTCCGCAAGTCGTCCTGCGAGACACCATGCTGCTTGATCGCTCGGATGTCGTTTTTGATAGGGTCCAAATGCTTGTTGAGAATGGCCTCGAAGGTCGCCGCCGTAAGTCCAGCGTCCGACGCTGCCATGAGGCTCCTTTGAAATTCATGCTGGCGTGCATGTACTTGAGCATCTGCCCCGCCAGCCGGAGGTTGATGTGAATCAGCTCCTGTTCGAGATGATTTTGCCAGTGCCGGGGCTTCCATCTCCAGACCGTCCATCTCGTTCAGCGGGCTCCTGACGCGAGCAGTTTTAGCTTTAGGTGCTGTAGCTGGTGGAGACGATGGAGAAGCGATGTCGTGCGTCTCTGCAGCGAAGAGCTGTCGCACAGGGGTACCTGGCACGCGCCCACCCGAAGAAGACATCGCAGCCCACAGGGGTGGTATTAGGGAAGAGCGAATTGTATAAAGATTGCCCCGGACACGGGTGTAATCTTCCTCTTGAGCCTGCTGCTTGAGCCAACAAATAGCCTGGGCACTATTTTTTATCAGTTTTGGGCATTCTGGGGGGTATTAAATTACTTTTTTATTTTTCCTCCAGAATCCGTCTGTAGGGGGACACGCCCGACCTAAGCCTCGAGACTTCTGCAACTGTGCGGATGGAGGGCAGTTTTTCCCTACCTAGGCTCTGCCTCTCTAGCTTAAAGGGGCCGGGCAGTGCTACACGCCACGGGCGGTTCCCCCAGTCCCCGCCCCGCGGTTCCCCCAGTCCCCTGGGAGCTTTAGCCTTAGCTTTCGCTTTAGCTTAGCTTTAGCTTTAGCTTTAGTTTTAGCTTAGCTTTAGCTTAGCTTTAGCTTAGTGTTAGCTTAGCTTTAGCTTAGCTTTAGCTTAGCTTTAGCTTAGCTTCAGCTTGGTGCTAGCTTAGCTTTAGCTTAGCTTTAGCTTAGCTTTAGCTTAGCTTCAGCTTAGCTTTAGCTTAGCTTCAGCTTAGCTTTCGCTTAGCTTTAGCTTAGCTTTAGCTTGGCTTTAGCTTGGCTTTAGCTTGGCTTTAGCTTAGCTTTAGCTTAGCTTTAGCTTAGCTTTAGCTTAGCTTCAGCTCAGTGTTAGCTTATCTTTAGCTTAAATTTAGCTTAGCTTCAGCTTAGTGTTAGCTTCGCTTTAGCTTAGTGATAACTTAGCTTTATCTTAGCTGTAGCATGGCTTTAGCTTAGCTTTAGCTCAGCTTTAGCTTAGCTTCAGCTTAGCTTTAGTTTAGCTTCAGCTTAGCTTTCGCTTAGCTTTAGCTTAGCTTTAGCTTGGCTTTAGCTTGGCTTTAGCTTAGCTTTAGCTTAGCTCTAGCTTAGCTTTAGCTTAGCTTTAGCTTAGCTTTAGCTTTAGCTGTAGCTTAGCTTTAGCTTAGCTTTCGCTTAGCTTCAGCTTAGCTTTAGCTTAGCTTTAGCTTAGCTTTAGCTTAGCGTTAGCTTATATTTAGCTTTAGCTTGAGCTTAGCTTTAGCTTAGCTTTAGCTTAGCTTTAGCTTAGCTTTAGCTTAGCTTCAGCTTAGCTTTAGCTTAGCTTTAGCTTAGTGTTAGCTTAGCCTTAGCTTAGCTTTAGCTTAGCTTTAGCTTAGCTTCAGCTTAGCTTTAGCTTAGCTTTAGCTTAGTTTTACTGTTACTACTAATGCTGCTTTCCTAGGGGCTCCAACTCCTAGGTAGGGTCGCACTGGGATAATTTTTCAGAATCGTGCCCTCGCTTTTCTGCGCCGCGCGCATGTTTCTAACAGCTTCTGCAGGCAGCATGGATGGACGGATGGCGAGATCCGCGACAAGCGTAGTCGCGCAGTCGATTTAGTTCGCATTCGCCAGGGTTTGCGGCCCAAACCTTACAGCAAAGCGGAGCGAGCCAAGCGGGCCGCTGCGGGGAAGCCCGTTTCAGTTTGCTGTCAGGGGCCCCTATTGTCACCGACATGCGTTCGGGAACTTTAGTCCCATCGCGTTTCGGCGCGACACGCTACTTACCCACTTCCTGGTCCACGAGTGCCAGCGCCCCAGGCTTCTGCCTGCCTCCCGCCCCGCGTACCGGAGATCTTCACGCGTCCGCTTGCACGGCGCAGCATGCCGCCGGGACCGTCACCGCGAGACGCTGTGCACAAGTTTTTCTGACCGCAGCCGCACGGCCCGTATCTCCGCAGCTTCCTCCCGCCTCCCTTTTTCCGGCCCTCCTCCCCCTCCTCCTCCTCCTCCCCCCCTCCTCCTCCTCCTCCCCCCCTCCTCCCTCCTCCTCCTCCTCCTCCTCCTCCTCCCCCTCCTCCTCCTCCTCCTCCTCCTCCTCCTCCTCCTCCTCCTCCTCCTCCTCCTCCTCCTCCTCCTCCTCCTCCCACCCGCTCCAGCCTTCGGCGGCCGCCGCGCCCGCCGTGGGCCAGGTGGTACGGCTCCCCCAAGAAGGCGCCCGGCGCCCTGCCCCGCTTCCTGTTGCGGCCGGCCCCGCCCTCGGGGTCGTGGGTGGCGTGGACGCTGGGCGCGCTGGGCGCGGGGCAAGCTGGGAGTGCCGCTGGGGGCGCCCTGGGGTGCGGGGACGGCGCGCCCTCGCGGCCTCGGCGGATGTCCAAGGGTTAGGGGATTTTTTTGTGGCGAGAAATGGAACATAGTACAAACATGCGCCCCAAATGATCAAGCATAGCCAAACAAGGAGGACGAGCTGGCGAGCTGGCGTGCGGGGGCGAGGGGGGGAGGAAGAGCTGGCGCGCTGGGCCTGCCAGCGGGGGCGCCCCCGGGCGGGCGGCGCAGGGCGGCGCGGTCGGCTGCCCGCTGCACGCTCCGTTCAGTGGGTGGTTCGGGCGGGCGGTGCGGGCGACAGACCGCCTCTGCCGCGCCAGCAGGGAGGGGGAGGGGGAGAGAGAGAGGCGAGGAGCGAGGAGGCCGAGGAGCAGGAGGGTGCGAGGCACGATGAGGATGCCGAGGGCGATGGCCGTGTCGACGGCGGTGTCGTCGATGATGGTGGTGATGATGGCAATGGTAGTGACGGTGATGATGATGGCGGTGATGGTGTCGATGATGATGGTGGTGATGATGGTACTGATGATGACAATGATGGCGTTGGTGGTGATGATGGTGGTGGTGATGACAATTTTGACGGTGATGATGGTGATTGTGAGGAGATTGCGAATGATGGTGTTGATTTTCCGAGTGGTGGTGGTGGTGGTCATGGCGATTGTGATCAGGAGGACGTCGATTATGGTGCTGATTCGGATGATTGCGATGGTGAGCGCGTGATGCGGATGACGATGATGATGGTGATGATGAGGACGACGATTCCGATGATGATGATGATGATGATGATGATGATGATGATGATGATGATGCTGCTGATAATGATGATGATGATGTTGATGATGCTGATGCTGATGCTGATGCTGGTGCTGATGCTGATGCTGATGCTGATGCTGATGCTGCTGATGATGATGATGAGGATGATGATGATGATGATGATGATGATGATGATGATGATGATGATGGTGATGTCGGTGATGGTGGTGATGGTGGTGATGATGAGGACGATGATGATTCGGAGGGGAGCGCGGCGGAGGAAGGGGAAGAGTGGTGATTGGTATGGAGAGAGGAACAGCGGGGTCGGGGTCGGGGGTCGGATGTGTGTGTGTGTGTGTGTGTGTGTTTGTGTGTGTGTGCGTGGGGGTGGAGGGGTGAGGGACGGGCGGGGAGGGAGGGAGCAGTAGGGACATGGATGGGGCGGTCAAGCTACGCGCGCTCGCGCCATTGTTGACATCCTGCTCTTCCCACCCGCTCCTTCCCACATCGTGGGGCTTTCTCTGTCCGCCACCGAGTGTCGTAACGGACCTGGCACCCCAGGCCTGGCCCGCAGTCAGAGAGCGAAGCTGTGTACACTGGTGGAGAAGGGATGATTATGGGGATGCGGCAGATGACCGAGGAGGGGCGGGAGGTGGTGGATGAGGATTGGGCGGGAAAAGGAGTGACGAAGAGAAGGACGAGGACGAAAAAACAGCAGCATCGAGAGCAGTATCATCTAGAGCGGGATGAACAGGATAACTAGTGGAAGGCGGAGGAGAGAAAAATGAAGGGAATGACAGCGACGACGAGTCAGCTGGACCCAGAAGTGTGGCCCGTGCTGGGGCAGAACGCCATTCAGAACACCATTTTGAAACATCCACTATGTAGCGCCGGCCTGTGACATCCGATGCATACAGTGATATTGTATGGGGAACAGGGGCCCTCTCGCACACAGTTCGGGGCCGGAGGGGGAAGCGTCTAATTCATGTCGGATAACAGTTGAGGAAAAGCGCGGATTAGTGTGGCCATAGCAAACCAAACATGCATCGTACGCTCTCCCGCCAGGGGGCCCTTCCAATAAGTCCATACGTACCCTCTTTTGCACTAAAACGAGTATTCGCCTTGGAATATTGGCATTCTTGCGGGAGCCCCGCGTAAGATTTCATTGCTTTGCGTCCATCTTGCGAGTCGTAAGATTACGACAAAGGCATGGCCATACATTTTAACGAGGTGTCCAAAGATATGATATGCCGGTCTTGAACAACAGACCGCCCCAACCCGCGCAATTTTTGCAGGCGATGTCTCGAGTGCCCCCCCTTTCTGATAAGGAACCACACCACGTTCCATCCGTGCAGCCGCTGCGTATGTTCAATTTTCGGGTCTCCTGGATACAAGGATGCTCAGCGCGATCTGGGTAGTCGAAGGCCAGACTGTCAGACTGGATTGGGCCCCAAGGGCCAATCTGGCCCGGCCAGACTGGATGATTTGGGTTATTCGCCAGACTGAATTCGCGTTGGCTCCCTCGCCAGATTGCCCCCGTTTGCCAGATTGGGCCTGCCAGATTGGCGCCAGATTGGCTTCGACTACCCAGGCGATAGCCCCCATTTGAGCATGATCCGCCCCCCATGCCAGCCATTGTGGGCCGCTCTCAGGACGGATGCGGGCAGCGCTACGGCGACAGCCGCGTTCTGCAGGGGAGACCTCTTCCCTTCCGTGTACCTGCTGCGTGCTTTGAATTTGGGCGTGCGCGGCGCCGAAACCGGGAGCCACATGTTCACCACTCCTCTCCTCTCCTCCTCCTCCTCCTCCTCCTCCTCCTCCTCCTCCTCCTCCTCCTCCTCCTCCTCCTCCTCCTCCTCCTCCTCTCGCTCTTCTTAGCCAGCGAAGGTTCTCTGACTGAAAACCTGCACACCAGAGGAATCATGAATCGCATTTTCCCGCGTGTGCTCGCTGCCGACATTCCTTTTCCGACATGCTCAGCGCACAGTCTGCCCTCTAGGGGGCCGCTCCGGTTACCGGAGCTGGCACGCAGACTTCCGTTCCGTTCCGTCCCATCCGAGTCGCTGTTGCAACCTCCTGAAAGGGGCGCGCGCGGCTCGAAGGCGAGAGCCACGATCGGAGAGGGAGCCGGCGCCCCTCCTTCCGTGTGAATGCTGAAAGCTTCTCGAGGCGAGTCCTTTCGGCGCTGCGGCAACAGACCCCGCTCCGAGAAGGAGCCCCTCTCCATCCGTGTATCTGCTGGATGCTTTCGAGGCCGAGGTACGAGGTGCGAAAGCGAGAACCGCAGTATGCACACCACACCCCTCCACACGCCTCTCGGGATATTGTTGCAGAGCGCCCGGGGGCCTCTTTCATTCCCAACCATCCTGTGGTGTTGGGTCCTCGTTTTGAAGAGAAAGCGCCCCGCGTTTCCCTCCTCCTCCCGCTGCCCACTACCTCCCCCTCGCACCATCGTCATCGTCATCGTCATCGTCATCGTCATCGTCATCGTCATCATCATCATCATCATCATCATCATCATCATTATTATTATTATCATCATCATCATCATCATCATCATCATCATCACTATCACTATCACTATCACTATCACCATCACCATCACCATCACCATGACCATGACCATGACCATGACCATCACCATCATCGTGGGCACCATCGCTATCATCGGCGCCATCAGCATCGCCATCGTCAGCGTCGTGCCTCTGTTCTCCGCGTGCCCACCAATTCGGAGCACCCCTCACACGTTTCGTGGCCACATGTGGAGCTCCACCGAAGGCCCCAGTGGCAAAGTTCGCATGGCGGCCCCGCCCCATTTCGGCGCACTCCTCATACGTTTCGCTGTCCCACCCGACAGGGAGCTCCACCGAAGGCCCCAGTGGCAAAGTTCGCGTGGCGGCCCCGCCCCATTTCGGCGCACCCCTCACACGTTTCGTGGCCCCATGGGGGGAGCTCCACCGAAGGCGCCAGTGGCAAAGTTCGCATGGCGGCCCCGCCCCATTTCGGCGCACCCCTCACACGTTTCGCTGCCGCATAGGGAGCTCCACCGAAGGCCCCAGTGGCAAAGTTCGCATGGCGGCCCCGCCCCATTTCGGCGCACCCCTCACACGTTTCGCTGCCCCACGGGGAGCTCCACCGAGAGCCCCAGTGGCACAGTTCGCATGGCGGCCCCGCTCCATTTCGGCGCACCCCTCACACGTTTCGCTGCCCCTCCAATGAAGGCGCCAGTGGCAAAGTTCGCATGGCGGCCCCGCCCTACTTCGGCGCACCCCTCACACATCTCGTTGCCCCATAGGGAGCCCCACCGAAGGCCCCAGTGGCAAAGTTCGCATGGCGGCCCCGCCCCATTTCGGCGCACTCCTCACGCGTTTCGTGGCTCCATGGGGAGCTCCATCGAAGGCCCCAGTGTCAAAGTTCGCACGGCGGCCCCGCCCCATTTCGGCGCACCCCTCACACGCTTCGCTGCCGCATAGAGAGCTCCACCGAAGGCGCCAGTGGCAAAGTTCGCATGGCGGCCCCGCCCCATTTCGTCGCACCCCTCACACGTCTCGCTGCCCCATGGGTAGCTCCACCGAGGCCTCAGTGGCAAAGTTCGCATGACGGCCCCGCTCCATTTCGGCGCACCCTTCACACGTCTCGTGGTCCCACAGGGAGCCCCACCGAAGGCCCCAGGGGCAAAGTTCACATGGCGGCCCCGCCCCACTTCGGCGCACCCCTCGCACGTTTCGTGGCCCGATAGGGAGCCCCACCGAAGGCGCCAGTGGCAAAGTTCGCATGGCGGCCCCGCCCCATTTCGGCGCACCCCTCGCACGTTTCGTGGCCCCATGGGGAGCTCCACCGAAGGCCCCAGTGTCAAAGTTCGCCTGGCGGCCCCGCCCCCTTTCCGCGCACCCCTCACACGTCTCGCTGCCCCATGTGGAGCTCCACGGGAGGTCCCAGTGGCAGGGTTCGCATGGCACCACCGCGCCCATTTCGGCGCACCCCTCACACTTTTCGTGGCCCCATGGGGAGCTCCACCGAAAGCCCGAGTGGCAAAGTTAGCATGGCGGCCCCGCCCCATTTCGGCACACCCTTCACATGTTTCGTGGCCCCACAGGGAGCTCTATCGAAGGCCCCACTGGCAGGGTTCGCATGGCGCCATAGCACTCATTTCTACACACCCGTCACGCGTTTCGTGGCCCCACAGGGAGCTCCACCGAAGGCGGGGCTCACAACTGCGGTACCCACACTTGCATATGGTTGGGCCCGTCGCCATGCTATTTTTTTCGGGAGGTCTTTGGGGGCCTTTCGGGGGCGCCTCGAGGTCTTCGGGGGCTTATGTGGCCATCTCAGTGCGGGAGTCTCGAAATGTTCTTTCGAGTTCCCCTCTGGGCCCTCTCTTGGGGCCGCCTTGGGGGCTTGTTGGGCCGTCTTGAGGGCCTTTTGGGCCGTCTTGGCGCCCTCTGGAGCAGTCGTGGGACTCTCCCAGGGGCCTCGTTGGCCGTCTTCGCGCGATCTTGGGGGCGTCTTGCGCCGTGTTGGAGCGGTGGTAGGCCGAATAGGTGAGACCGCTACAGTCTTTCAAACACTTATGGGCTCTCCATGGCTTCTTGGGGCCCTCTTGGCGGTCCTCTTGGAGCGCTCCTGGGGCGCGACCGTGTGCAATTCGAAGCGCCCTTAGGCCGCTCCCTGGCTCTCTTGGACCATCTGGAGCGTTTCTTGACATACTCTTGGGGGCCGTCTTGGGGGCCTCTTGGGCTGTCTTGGCGTAGCCTCTTGGGGCGATCTTGAGCCGTCTTGGGGCGATCTTGGGGGCCTCTTGGGCCGTGCTGTAGCGTTGGTAGCCCGAGAAAGCGAGAACGCTAGAATCCTGCAGAAATCAACGGACAATTGATGACTGTCGCGTCTTGGGGCCCTCTTGGCGGTTCTCTTTGGGCCCTCGTGGGGCGTTTCGGAGCCTCTTGGGCCGTCTTGAGGCTGTCTTGAGCATTGCGGAGCGTCCTTTGGCCCTCTGGGGCTGTCTCGGACTACGTGAGGCGTTTCTTGGGACATTCCTGGGGGTTCGGGAGGAGTCTGGTAGGCCGTCTTGGGGGCCACTTTGGCCGACTTGGGGCCGTCTTGGCGCCCTCTTGGGCCGTCTTGCGGGGGCCTCTTGGGCCGTCTTGGGGCCTTCTTGAGGGCCTCGTGGGCATTTGTGTGACGTTGGAAGCCCGAAGCTGTGAGAACGTCAAATTGTGGCAACAAAAAATGGAACATCACTGACTTTGGCTTTTGGGAGTCCTCTTGGCGCTTTTGTTGGAGCCCTCTTTGGGCGTTTTGGGGGCCTCTTGGGCTGTCTTGAAGCCATGGTCACATCTTGAAGAGCTCTTGGGCCGATGGTGCCCTCTTGGACCATTGGAAGCGCTTCTCGAGGCACTCGGGGGTTCGGCAGGCTGTTTTAGGCTGGCTCGGTTTCCAGAGGACTCACGCGGCACACCTCGGGAGCGCCCGGAAGTCCGTGGAAGCGCCCGGGACACAGGGGGCCGGGGCCCTTCAGAACCTGGAGCCAGCTGCTCGTAGAATGTTACACCTTAGGCGATGCTTAAGAAAACGTAAGTTTTCGGCCAGAGTCTCGATTATTCTTAATGTTTCAATGTAAATCCGAAGATTTCAATAGAAATTCTGGGTTTTTATTCAAATTCTGAGACTCTGAGTTTCTTAACCCATGATTTCTTAAGCATTTCGCAAAGTGTATGAGCCCTGGGACATTCCACTACGTGGACGCGGAAAGGACATTGCTGAGGTGGGGTTGTAAGGGTAGGATAGGTACACGAGGAGGAGGGAATGGGAGGGCGGGGGGGGAGCGAGGAGAGGAACGGATGAGGGAGCGAAGTGTAGAGGGCAACCAGGAAGAGGAATGTCGCCTTTCTCCCCTCCCCCATCCCTGCCCTTCCTCCCCCTCGACTCCCCCAGCGCCCTTGACTCTCCATCCCTTGCCCTTTGCCTTCCTGTTGCCCTCCTCCTTCTCTCCTGCCACGCACCTTCCATTCCTTTTTTCCTTCCTCCTTTCCTCCCGCGTGCACACCCCTCCCTCTGTCCCTGTCTCCCTTATTTCTCCCTCGAGCTGAGTTGACCGAGTAATCACCCTCTTCTCCCTACTCGCCCTTTCGCTTCCCCCCCCCTACCTTCTTGTCCTCCTCCTCCTCCTCCTCCTCCTCCTACTCCTCCTCCCTCCTCGTCATCCCATGTTCCCCGAGAAGTTCTCAGGGGCGAGGATGTGGGGATGGGAATACGAAGAGGAGGAGGAGGGAGGGGGAGAGGAGGATGGAGGTCCTTTCGTCGTCCTCCCTTGGTCCCTTCCTCCCTCCCTGCCCTCCCCTCCCTTCTCTTCTGAGAGCCACCGAAGCTTACCGAACATCCATCAAAGAAAGCTCCTCCTCCTCGACTCCCTCCTCGTCGCAGCCTACTGCTCTTGCCCTCCTCTACTCTCCTCTACCCTTCTCTCTTCTTCCCTCCCCTCCCCTCCCCTCCCCTCCCCTTCCTGCCTCGCTCGCTAGCTCTCTTCTCTCCTCTCCTTCTTGCATTCCTCTCTTCTCCTCTCTTCTCCTCTCTCCTCCTCCTCCTCCTCCTCCTCCACTTCCTCCTCTTCCTCATCCTCCCCCATTATCATCCTCCCTCAGCGCTTTTCCTCCTTTCTCCTCCCTCCTGCTCCCTACCTCGTGTCTTGGGGCAAAGACGGAAGGCCCCCCGCAGGTGCCAGTGCCGCTGCGCTCCGAGAGCGGTACCCTAGGAGGCGCGAGCTTGTGGGGAGTTTGATCGGATGAGGAGGAGGAGGAGGAGGAGGAGGAGGAGGAGGAGGAGGAGGAGGAGGTGGAGGAGGAGGAGGATGGGTAGGAGGTGGGAGGGAGGCGGTGAGAGGAGGAGGCGGAGAGGAGGTGGAGGAGGAGGAGGAGGGGAGGAGGAGGGAGGAGGAGAGGAGGAGGAGGAGGGGGAGGGGGTGGCGAGTGGGGAGGGGGGGGGGAAGGGGGAGGGGGAGGGGGAGGGGGTAGGGGGAGGGAGGAGGGGGGAGGAGGAGGGGGAGGAGGAGGTATAGGAGGAGGTGGAGGGAGGAGGAAAAGGAGGAGGAAGGAGGAGAGGAGTGGAGGAGGAGGAGGGCGGGAGGAGGAGGAGGAGGAGGTGTTCTAGGGAGGAGGCACCATCTGCTCGGCCGGTGGCCGGCGGCCCCGAGCCGCCCGCGGCCGACGCTGCCGCCGCCGGCCAGCGCCAGGGATGCGCATATGCTTACCTCAGTTGCTCTCGATTGGGCGACGAGATCTATACATATCCACTGCTCCCTGGCCAGGCCCATCCTGAAACCAGCAGCTGTGTATCCGCCCTCCTGGCCAGGCCAGGAGCGCGTGGCGTAGACACCGCCGGCGGGTTCAGGATAGGCCTGGCCAGGGAGCAGTGGATATGTATAGATCTCGTCGCCCTATTTCGAGGATGTGATCCAGCGAGCAGACGCAGCTCATCAGGCAGTGGCGAAGCGTCCTGGCTCGCCTATAGCCCCACCAAGCCATGTTCTAAGAGCCTTTTTTTTTGCGGCTTCCACGACATGCTCTCAGAACAGTTCTGGCGGAGCCTGTCTTGTTTTATCACATCGGGTTTCTGTTCTGAGAACCTTGTTTTGTTCTTAAGACATTTGGGGGTTCTAAGAACATTTCGTGGTAGGACTATAGGAATGCCGGGACGGTCGGTCCCTGCTCAAGCCCAGCTCTGCAGTGGTTCCCAAAGGTTGGTTGCCATCAGTTCGGCATTTCCCGTGCGAGCGCTGTCCGAAGGGTTCCCCTTGGAGGCCGGCAGGCCGCAGGAGGCGGGCGACCTTCCCGAGGAGAGGCGCTCCGCAATCGGTCTCGTTAGCGGAGCGTTGCGCCTGTCTCTTCGTCGTCGCAAGCACAGCTTGGCAGGATCCCGCCTCGCGAGGCGTTGTTCGTGCTTCTCCGCAGGTGTGCGCATGTGCCCAGTGCGCAGGGTTAGCGCGCACTTGCAAGGAAGGAGACTCGGCCGGTGGCTCTTTGTTTTCTTACAGTTGCGCATTCACGAGCACCCTGAGACGGTTCTTGACGTCAGCATTATTGCTGGATGCTCCCTGATGTCATTCAGAGCAGGGAGGGCAACGGATATGGCTGCTCAGGGAGAGCTCATGGCTGCTACCCTGGCAGCCGGCGAGTGGGGACCGGCGCAATTCCTCAGATATGCTTACCTCGATTCAATCGAGCAACGCGTTCTCACTGAGAGAACCGTGGATTCAGGCAGCAAGTAATTGCCCACGGTGCCAGATAGGCGCGCCAGCATGGGAGTACATGTGGCTGGTGAGGCGGTCATGCTGCCAGCGCTGCGCGCCTTGCACCAAGAAAGGTCGCAGGTCCGCAGGGCACACGCGGTGCAGGTCACTCTGGTTGCCCAAGTCGTCCTGCAAAATGTGCGGCGCGTTCATGTCCCAGGCTAGCCGCCTGAGCGTCAACCACGTCGCGGCCAGAGGACCTTTGGCATTGGCCCAAGTAATTGGGACAGCCCGCTCATGGAGCGCTGTCCAAGCCCTCTGAAGGCGGCTACGTGACGTGCGCCCATCCCAAATCCAGTCGGCGTGGTTCAAGACCAGGTCCAGCGTGGCATGATAGATGGGATCGTACTCCTCCGAAGTGTGAGTAAGGAGGTATGCCGTGACGCCCACATGGTGTTTGTCACTGCGCCCATACAGTACCGCGGCCAAATTGCGCATCTCGCGTAGGGGCGCGTCCGCCAACCCCGACACTCCAGCCCCGTGCCCTGCGGACGGCATGAGCCCAGCCCGCCACAGGGTGGAGGCTTTGCGCCCTACCGCGCGACGCAGCATGAGGAGTCGGTGCTTGCGCTCCTGCACGGCCTTCAGGTGCTCCTTCTTCACCTTCCTTAGCACCCGAGGGCCATGCAGCTCATGGCCAAGGTTGCGCATATGTCGGGCTTGGGGCACCGCCCGAGGCATCCGCCGCTGGACTCTGCGCGCCACAAGGCGGACCTGCGCTGACCCAGCCACCACCGCGGACTTAGCAGGTTGGAGAATAAGCCCGAGGCCCCTGGCCTCCGCAGTGAGCACCATCGCAGTGCGCAGCAGCAGCTTGACATCACCTAGGTCTGGGGAGACCATCTGCAGGCCGATATCGTTCACCAGCGAACGTGGCTTGATGGTCGGCGCCACCCTGTTGGCCCGCTGGAGGACACGGTACGTCAGCAAATATATGAGGTAGGTGGCATGTGTGCACCCCGCCAGCACCCCCTGAAAGGCGACGAAGGAACACGAAAGGCTGCCGTACGCCTTGATGCGCCGTGGCTGCTGGTAGAGCTGCAGCAACATCCATAGCAGGCGTATCGGGTAACCCAGCCCCCGTGCCTCCCGCATGAGCGCATGGGGGCTCACCCGGTCAAAACATTTCATCATGTCAAGGAGGATGGTGCATGTGTGGTCGCTTATGTGGCGTCCCACCTCTTTGTCCAGGTTGTGAGCGAAAGCCGAGGCCGTGGATGTGTGGCTGCCTCGAGTACCCCACATCTCGTCGCAGTGATGCAGTCGTTGCCATTCTGCCGGCAGCCATCGGCGTGCTTTCGCCCAAACTCGTATGAGAGTATGGCTAAGCACAATCAGCCTGTGGCCACCATCTGGCTTAGGGAGACGGACCATCTCACTATACAGGCGTTATAGGGAAACCGCAAGTGCTGCTCAAAAACCCCGGACATCTGGGCCAACCTCCTGAGAGCCTCATCTGATGAGTGCTCGAGCGCCTTCGGTGGAATGCGGGTGGGCCCCGAGGCGGTGGCGAGAGAGAACGATCGGATGGCCTGCCGCAGGTCATGGGCCGTCAGGCTAGGCAGCTTCCCCCAAGTAGGTGCATCCGTGGGCAGAGGCAGTTCTTGCAGCCCATGGGTCGCGCAGATCCGCTTCCACTCGCACATGGTGCGGTCCGCGAGGATGTATGGCTGGGCATCGGCCTCAGGGGCAGCGAGTTCTTGTTGCGCCCTGACCTCGGTTGCAGCATGGGCAGCCTTCGCTCCCCCATTGAAGGCCGCCTGAGCCCACCCGCGCCAGGCCCTTTCCGACGCGCCGCGAGCCGCGGCAGCGAGGTCCACCGCGCGGCCCATGATGGCATCTACCATGTCATCAAAGTCCTCCGCAATCAGCCCGTCCAGCCCGCGCGGGAAGAAGTGGCGGTAGCAGGGGTCGATATTGGCGAGGACTTTGTCCTGCCCGGCAATGGAGCTCAGGAAGCAGATGATGTCGTAGAATGCACTGGCAGTCTTCTGCAGCTGCCTGGGAGCTGGAGACGCATGCGCCGCCGCCGCATTCAACCGGTGGCAAAACCGCTGGACCCGATCGCGCTCGGCGCGAAGGTGAGTCGCCCTGCGCGCCGCGGTAGCCTAAGCCCAGACTGTGGTGTCGTGGCACAGGCGCTTGCGCGATGGCCCCCACCGCAACTGCCGCCACTTCACCCTGGGGGGGCCGTGGTGCCCGACGAAGCGGTTGGCTCCAGGGCCAACTTCGTCGTGCTTGCCTGCGACATCGTAATCAATACCCTGCAGAACGGAGTCCCAGAGCTGCCGCAAGACATCATCGGGTGCACCGACCTCGCCGGCGGCCCGGCCATGGGCCCAGGTCCGACGGCGGTAACGTTGGCCCGCGCGTCCCGATCGATCGCGCTTAGATTTGCCGAATGGACCGAATTGATCGACGGGCCTGCGTCGGTCTCGATCGGGCCTGGACTGGACATGGCCCGTGCCAGTAACCCTTTGCGGCGCAGAGGCTGCCCGCGTAAACGGGCCATCCAACGCGCGCCAAGGAAAGGGGAAACGAGCACAGCCGACAGGGGGTGCAGCAGGCAGCGGTCGAGGCTCATCGGGGGCGCGGCACCGCGTCGTCGCGTCCTTCCCGTGCAGCTCCAGCCCGACAGGGTAGTGAGGTCTGGCAATGCTCCCACGCCCATGCATCACCTCGGGCTGGCGCGAGACACGGGACGCGAGATTGCTGGCCACCCAAAAGTAGTCGATGGTGGGCACCCCGCTGGAGGTGACGCGCGTAGGGGCCGACGGCTGGAGGAGAGTGCCTGCCAACGACCCAACCCAGTCGCCAATGTTGATGCTCTGGCCGTCGGCGTTCCAGTCGCCCCCGATGATCCAGTCGAGGCCGGGTGCATTCCACGCCGCCACGCGCTTCGCAAGCGCCCATAGGATCGAGAGGTTGGCCCCAGCGACGCTGATGCCCTGGGCCATGTACACGCTGACGACAATCAGACCACCAGGGACACCCCAGTGGACGCGACCTGCCACAGCATGATGGGGAAAGACGACATGATCCCCATCGGGGGGCATCGTGACCATCACGTTGGTAGGCGCGAGCACGCAGACCCCACTGGAGCACGACGCCGCGGACGCTCCTCCCGTCTCCTCGGCAGGAGCCCAGAGGCCGTGCCAACCTGCATCGCGCGCAGCAGATTGAACAGCCCCGAGCCGTTGGTCGACCACCCGCGTCTCCTGGACCATCGCTACCTTGCCGAAGAAGTACGGCAGCAGTGGCCCGTGAGATCCAGGGTTAACCGTGACCAGCTTGGCCGCAGCAGGAGGAGCAGGAGGAGCAGGAGGAGGAGGAGGAGGAGGAGCAGCAGCAGCAGGAGAAGCAGGAGGAGGAGGAGGAGGACCAGTGTAAACCCAAGAGCCATCAACGATGGTGGAATAAACCTTCCCATCCAAGCCCCCTCTTCATAGCCCCCCCCCCCGGAAGTGTTCATTTCCATTGAGGGAACTGCTCCGTTGGAAGGCAACCGTCTTAAGACTAAGATCCTGGATCGCGTCACAGCGCCATTCTCTGAACTTCAGCACCGCGATCCAACGTAACTGCTGCACCCTCGTAACTAATGATCCTTCCAACGCACCATTGCTGGTGCGCTGATCATGGGTGCCCGTACAACTTTTAAGAGTTGTTACAGCGAGTGTGCGCGGCGCTAAGGCGATGACCACATTTTGAAAAGGAGCCGCCTTCAATCCGTGAAGCTCATGCAACTGTTTCAACGGGTGTGCGCGGCGCTAAGGCGAGAGCCACATTTTGAACCACCCACCTTCAATCCTGGAAGCTCGTGCAAGTTTTTTCAAACAAAATAACGAATGCGCGCGGCGCTGAGGCGAGGGCCACATTTTGAAAACCACCGGCCTGCAATCCGTGAAACTCCTTGCATATGTTGGACACGAATGTGCGCGGCGCTACGGCGATAACCATTTTTTGAAAACGACCCGCCCGCAACACGTGACACTTTTGGAAATGTTTGGAGCGAATGTGCGCGGCGCTAAGGCGAGAACCACATTTTGAAAAAGAAACCGCCCTCAACCCGTGACGTTCTTGCAAGTTTTTGTT